AGTGAACTGTTCGAGGCTGTCAAGTCTTCAAACTTGACAGCCAGATCCACTTGGACGTTGGGGACAGTGACGACCCCAGAATAGCGGGACGCTGGAGCCCCGTAGGGCCCCAAGATGAACGTTCATCCGCGTCACAATATATATACACGTTTCACAGCACACGCGGCGCAAATATCAACAAGATCATGGCAACGCTTTACAGTGCTATGGAGATATGGTATTCGACTGGAGGTCTACGACAACTTACACTTCCTACGTGGAATGGGGTGAACTCTAACGCTGCAAGTACTCGATACATTGAGAGTGTGACGAGGTTCTGTCCTAGAATTGAGTACCTTGACGGATATAAACAAGCGCGTTCAAAATTATGCGTGCGTGGTCCAGAGATGTGGACAATCTCACTGGACACGTGGAGAGCTTTCAATGCCACCTGTACCAATTTGCGGAGCTTTCACTGGTTTGCTGTGCCATTTGCTAACCCGTTTTTCAGTGTATTTGGCGAGTATATCAAGCCAAATTTGACAGCGTTGTCGCTTAACTGGACATACGATCGATATGACAGAACATGACAAACACATGTATTTACTGTTTCAGCACACAGCAAATCATTTGACTTGACTTCTGTATACTTTTGACCTTCTGAGTGTCGCAATCAGACATAAATTATGATTGTGTCACATAATCGATGATTAGAGGTCACAGCAGAAAAGGGACCAGCCGCGCTCGCTTGGCTGGGCGCCCCTTCGGCGCCCCCGCGGTTCGCTGTGCTCGCAATATGGAGATAGAATGTCCTGGAAAGTGTAGTACTCTGCTCGCTGGATGAGCTCAGCGCTGGGCCCGCCTCGCACCCGCTCACCTTAGTTGGCGCCGCGGCTATGGCACCCACGTCGCCCAGCCCCGTGTGTGTTATCCCATCTATTTTCTCGATCGATATACCGGTATACGATATTGCAGTGAACAGACCTCTGACGATAACCCTGGATTTGCCGGATTTCTACGGAGAAATTGTGGTGCTTTGAGTCTTCTTTTGGAGAAGGTCTTGGAGCCGCTTCGGGCCAGACAAAGCCTCTCTTCGAGGTTGTAAATCCGAACGAGTCCGTTGTATCCTGCCAAAATTTATATGCTCGAAAAAATCAGACCACTCAATGAGGCAGTACGGGCAAACACCCTTCGCTACAAGTCAGCGTATCACTGTTCGGACAGAAAGCATACCAATTCAGCCGAATCGGTAAGCTAACCCTGGACTGGCAATCGCATAAAAAAAAACATTCAAGTAATCGACTGTCAAAATAAAAGCGATTCGTCTGAAAGCGATCTTTAAACATTGACACGTTAGGATTGTTTATACACTAATCTAATGCATCTATGAATTCTCTAAAATAATGCACCCAGCAATGCTTACTCTACTGCTAATATTGGCAGCTTCTTGATATGTGGTTTATTGAGATGGCTGACAGTAAATGTAAGAAGTAATAAAAAATAGCGCTGTTCTCGTGAGCGCAGATATAGCAGATGCCTAAAGCATTCTATCCGTGTCATCGGGAATGCAGGGGTAAAACAGTATTGTGCGTTAATAAGGTACGCATGAGAACTATTAATAATATCCTTGTATTCATTATACAGAACAAATTGAAATGTATAGGCGATCGGAGGTTGGACTTCGTCGACATCATGTGGCTGACCGCTCCTGAGTTTCGATTCGTTGGTGTTACCCTTGTACTGCAGCTACACATACCCCGCTTTTTCATTTGAATTCGGCTACTGGTGTTTGAAATACATCGTAGTTTCGTATGTTTAGGCGGGGCAAATTTTGTTTAGGAAAATAAATGAAAGGAACCCATTGCACTATTGCGTCTGAAAGTCCATGACCCTACAGAAATAGCTACGGATATTCCTTGGACAAAGGGTGCTGCGCCGCAAGAGCTGAACAGCTAATCTAACGATGCCACGAACTAGGGATCCTTTACACGACTTTAATCGGATTCAAAGTCTGCACATGATGCCCCACACACTTTACAGCGCAGGTCCAAGCGGATTTGAGCTTCTCGCTTTTATTTTGATCTTTTGTTTTTCAAAAATTTAAGACTCGCCTCCAACTGGCGAACTGTTTTGATTTCGTACTGTTCTGTTAGTTTTTTTCGCAGCACTTGTCCCAACGTCCGTGATATGTTTGAGTAGTCGCGTGGCTGCCGAAAGCGAAATGATTTTCTGTCGTTTAAAGTTCTCTTTGACAGCTGCAGGAGTAATACATACAAGTGCAGATCGACGGGGATCCGCTCTCGAGGGTTCCAATCTTATTAACCCTTTGTGTTGTCAACTGGTTTGTACGGCTCCTGCGTGTACTCGTAGGTCTCTGACTCGTCGACGTCATCCCAGACAACTTCCGGAGAACATCAGCACGTAGATTTCCACCGATAATGCTGTCATCCCCTCCTAACCGCTGAAGCGATCCTTCAGCAAACTGCACTTCACTCTCAATTTACTCAGGTGACGGCTCCGAGTTGTCATTTTCATCCATCGATTGATCAGCCTGCTCCTCATCACTATCATGTTCCTCCACGTCCTCCTATTCTGCTTTATTCTCCGACTCCATACTCATCCTTAAGTGTAACGTTCAAATCGTCCTCATTGTTAGCCAGTATCGCGTTACTTTGAGCCTCCACTTCCCTTTCACTGACACGTACAATTAATGACATTCGGTTTCACTCATATGCAGTATAACGTTCAGCATATCATACAGCATAATATGCAGTACAATATGCAGTATAGCGTACCATTACCGATGTCTTCCGCAGGCTCGTCTGCGGTGCTCTCATCGTCTGGGGCATATCTTGCGTCTTTTCGCACGAGGCATCGCCGTCTTCCACTTCCGTGTTATCACCGTCTGACCCAGTCACGTGCGGTGAAGTCGGAATGAGTATCTATCGTCTTCCGGAACGGCGTCTGGAGTTAGGGGCGACACGTGCCATTTCTGAAGAGGCCTCACAATGTTTTAGACCTTCTGATCGAGCTGGTGTCGTCACTTGAGCTGGTGTTGTCACTCGAGCTACCGTTGTCACTAGAGCTGGCGTTGTCACTGGAGCTGGTGCCGCCACTGGGGCTAAGGTCGTCAATCGAGCTGACATCGTCGCTGGGAATCGTGGTGGGTCTAATCAGCAAGCCGGACACAAGGGTTTAACACCTTCTTTCAAAACAAGGTGGGAATACCCTCTAAATGGAAAAGAAATCACCCTTTTTCCACCGAGCCTCATTACTACCAATTATAGCAGTGAATGTAATGAGGGTGGTCAATTTTAAGTTAAGTTGTAAACTGAAAATAATTAAAGGAAGGCTGAGCTTGAGCTAAATAAACAAACTATAAGTATCCTTTAGAAAAGCAATGTCATCAGCCAACAGTTGGCCTAGTACTTACCGTTCCACACGTGGCCAGGTGAGGTTTCTCCTCTTCACCGTCGCCAGCTTTGGGAGAGCCTTTAGCCTTGACGGCAGGACACTCAGAGTGCACAGACGTCCTCGGACTGTGATCGCCGTAATCTCTAGCGAGCGCGTGCACCCTGTAGTCTAGCTCGCTGAGTGCTGGAGTGTGCTCTCCCATGCAGCCCGCAGGAGCATCGTGAATGATCCCGGCCTCGTCCTCAATGCCCGAATCTAACTTCCGTTCAGCAAACCGCGGGTTCGGCCAGTTGACGGGAGAGATTGAGTGTGATGATGTGACGGGGTCACACAGCACCTTGCGCTAGAGGAAGTTATCTTCCGAGAGTATACAAACTCTCAGTGAACGGCAGTTCACAGGTCCCCTCTTTAATTAAAGAGAGCGAAGTGACCTAAATAAGGTAGATTGTAAACTGAGTATATTTATAGGTAGGTTAAGTTTGAGGTTAATACAAACTATCAGTTACCTATAGAAATGCAATGTCATTTAACCAATGGTTGGTTTTGAATGACCTTGGTACCTTGTACCAAATATCCCGGAGTATGACATGTCATACTCCTGAAGTGTGAAGTGTCACACTTCATGTAACCAGGGTACACTTAGTGCTACGTACCCCGTTACATCCTCCCCCACTTAGGTTCGGTTTACCGACCAATCAGAATGAAGAGATGTTCGTCACAAACTCTCATTCTCAAAGTTGAAAACCATCGACTCGGCCGCGCGGGCGCGGCGGAGGCTCACTTTACAGTTAGAGCCTCGAGCAGCAACCTGTGCGCTCTTCGTCAAGGTCTCCACTTCGACCGTTAACATGCCTCGTGGCACTGCTAAGAGCGGTGCTAAGACACGCTCCAAGGCTGCAGCCGGTAAGGCGCAGGCCAAGAGCACTAACTCTCACGGAAAAGTCTCTGCACTTAAGGAGGCTACTCAGGTACCTCCGAGGCGAT